TGTTCTTTTTTTTTGCATATCTTCTACATATCGGCTTTCTATAATAAAAAATTTCAATCTGTGTTTATAGCTTTGGTATATAATAGCTGAGATATTAGCTAAAAAACTTTGATGGATATGATTTTAATATCAAATTTGCAATTGAGATTAATCATAAATTATTGTCAGAATTTGCTTTCAAAACTCCTGAATACTAAATTGAATTAGTTTAGAAATATATAGAGAAACTATCTAATGATTATTATATTTATAAAATAATTGATTTGTACAGTACTTTTTGAAGCTAAGTTTGTTAAAATTATTTTACTATTTCTTCATACAATTGAATCAACTAGCTAATTTGATGAATATTTATTTTTTACTAATTAATCTAGATTACTTGAGTAGCTATAGGCTAACCCAGTTAATGGATCTTATACAGATTACTCAGATGACTCTTATATGAATACTATCTTTATAGTAAAGTATATAAATAAGACTTAAAAAGAACTAATTTTTTGATTATATAGAAAAAATATATATAATTTAGTATGAAAAGTCCTTTAAATACCTTGCAGGTTATACAAATTTGAATAAATTTTAAAAGGAACTTATAAAACAGAATTAAAAAAATAGAAGAGAATAATATTTTTGGCATCACTTTATTTTTAGTTATTAATTCAAATCATTAAAATATTAGGCCAACATTATAAACCATACTAGATAAATTCAAAGATCAGTAGAATATAACAAAAATAAAACCTTCTGAATATTTTTCTTTATAATTTAAGTTGTGACTATTCAATTAAAATACTGTGAAAATATGAATAAATGATATAGAGAAAAGACTCTTTGAGTTATCTTTATTTGAAAAAAGTAGAATTAAGTAAAAAGAAAAAAAAAAGTATCATTTAAATAAGATTATAAACAATTAACACAGTTAAAGAAACAATATATTATTTGCTTCTAAAGGAATATTTATATGGGATTCATTATTTTAATATAAATTAAAAGTTTTCATTTTTTTTATATAATTAATTAAAATTATTTGAGTTACAAGTTGATAAGTCTAGTAATTAATGGTATAATATAATTAGATCTATGATCAAGATTATTATATGATAAGAAATATTGCTACCAAAATTTTAAAGAATAAATATTTCTCACAAATTTTAGTACAAATTCTAAATGTAGTCTTGATTTGTTTCTAATTATAATCTGATGATAGTAAAATAGGATACACTAAATATATTGATACACTATTTAATTTTTTCAAGTCTCAAAATAGAATTCTTATTTAGATAAGTTGTTTTTTATTTCATTAAAAACTTTATTTATACTATGAAATACTAATATGATATTATTAAACGATTTTACTATCAGAAAGGCCTTGTTCAAAAACAATCTCTTCATATAATTCTTGTGATTGAACAAAATTTTCATATATTGCTGAATTAGAAGATATATTTTTAAAAAAATCTGAAATAGAACTTTGGTTCCTACAATTTGAAAGTTGAAGTTTATATTTTTAAATAAATTTTAAAGTAGAGAAATACTTTTTATATTCTGAACAACTTAAGTATTGATGTATCTCTGTTAATATTGAGAGCAATGCTTGTCATAAGGAGGGATTTTAAGTTTATCATAGTATTCAAGAATATGAATAGAATTTAAAAAATGTTGGTCACAACCTTAGATAACA